ACTTTACACTGACTAAACAGACCATAATTTACTAGTTCCCAACAGATAGTCATATGATCATTTCTAATGTTTTGCTATTATTAATGTTGCAGTAATGCTGTACACAGTAATGTGTCATTTTGTACATATGCAAATGTAGCTATCAGAGCAAGAGTTGTATTCTTGGACTTTTGGGAGAAAGGGTATGTGCATTTGTAATTCTGACATATGCTGGCAAAATACTCTCATTAGAATTTATCAATTTATACTAACAACCTATCAAAACTTGTTTACTGACAGCCTCACCACACAGAGTGAATTATCAAATATAAGGATTTTTGTTAACCCGGTATATGAAAAAAATGGCACCTCATTGTAGTTTACTGCATTTCTCTTAACATGCATGAAGTTGAAGAGTATGCATCTGTTTCAGAGCCATATGTATTTATTTCCTTTTCTGTGGAATGCCTGTTCATATCTTTTGTCCATTTTGCTACTGGACTGTTGTCTCTTTATCTCATCAATTTCTAGGAGCACATTATGTATGTATGTATGTATGTATTTTAACCCTTACACAAGGATATGTTTTTATTGACTTCAGAGAGGAAGGGAGAGGGAGAGAGAGAGAAACATTGATGCGAGAAACATTGATCGGCTGCCTCCCGTACACACTCCAACCAGGGATCGAACCTGCAACCTGGGTATGTGCATGACCAGGAATTGAACCCAAGATCTTTTGGTGCACAGGATGATGCTCCAACCAACTGAGCCACACCAGCCAGGGCTACGAGTGCTTCATATCTGGGAGATTAGTGTTTCGATTGTAATGAGTCATAAATATTTTCCCATTTCTCTTTCAACTTTGTTTCCAGTGATTTCTATCTAACAGAATTACTTTTACTTTCATGTAGTTTTTTTCTAGGCCTCTTCACAATTTAGTCAGAAAGGCTTTCTTCATTCCAAAATAACAAACAAATGTACCCATATTTTCTTTGAGTACACTTATCATTACATTTACATATTTGATTCATTTGGAATTTATCTAAATATATACATAGAGGTACTAATCCAACTTTTTTATTCCCTAGAAAATGCTCTTATTCTAAGATCATATTTTGAACAGCCCCCACTTGAAATTTCCCCACTGATTTCTGGTGATTTAAGTCTATATCTGGGTTTTATATTCTGTTTTATTGGTTTAATATATCTATTTGTAAAACAAAAACTATTAATGCTTTAAAATTAAAATGTTAATATCTAGGTACCTATATATTATTTATGCTCTTATTTTTCAGTTTTCCTGGATAGTTTGGTTTATTTTTTTCCATATGGTTTATTTTTTCCTGGATAGTTTGGTTTATTTTTTTCCAAAGGAGAATCCATTTGTCTAGTTCCTGCAAAAAAATACCATTTGGTATTTTTATTAGGATCACATTAAATTGACAAATTAATTTTAGAGAAAACTGGCAGGGTTCTGTGGGTTGAGTATTCCTATTCACAAATGTGGTTTCCAAGTTTTTGGTGTCCTGCAGAAGTGCTTCTAAGTCTTCTTCAGATAGGTCATGTACATTTCTTAGGTTATTCCAGGATCATTTTATCTTTTTCTTGCTACTGACATCTAATTAGTTCTTGTTTCCACTGTATTTTTAATTTTGACTTTGGGCAATTCATTTAACCTCCTGAAGTTGTATTTCCTTCACCGATAAAACTAAGCTAATATATATTTTGCAGGGTGATTTTAAGACTTTCAGATAAGGCATAAAGGATTCCGCACAGTGCCTGGCACAAAATGGTAGTGTTATTATTTTTAAATATCAGCATTCTAGCATCTAAATAATATACTCTAATCAATTTCTTGACAATTATGAAGTCTGTATCTTTCTTCTACCTTTACATTTTCTTAATAACTTCTAAGTGTTCCCTTTCCCCCATTCCCAGTTGCAGAGGTTACTCCCCAAATGTGTGCAGAAATAGAACTATCTTTAGCCAGAGATAACAACAACATGTCAGACTTTTCCCTAATTACTCTTCAGAAGATAAGTGTAGGTCCATTAGGGAGCCTCGTTATAAAATCTATGGCTGAGCAATACTTGGATCAGAAATCAGAAAGTATACATGTTCTAACTGATAAATACTTGAGATCTTGGGATCGACTGTGAGAAGTAATCTAAGCTCTACTTTACTTTCATCATGCCATACAAAAAAATAAAAGAAATGAATAAATAAATAAATAAATAAATAAATAAATAAATAAATAAATAACTTCTTCAAGTAACAGGTAAAGCAGCTAAACGTTCCTCTGTTTTCAGATGCTCCTAATTCTGCTTCTTAGGGCGTCTTTTACCCTGACCCTGTCCCTTCCCCACTCCCATTTCTCTTTCAAGAAGCAACAGCAATATCTCAGATTACAGCAACAGCATATTTCCCTGGGGCACCTGCCCACATGCCAGCACATACACAATTTATAGTTACAATTATTTTGGTTATTAGTGAAATTAAAAGCAACATGTATGTGATTGTATCTTGTGACTTCAAAAAACTTTGTTTTCAGTAAAACCTGGAAGGAAGTCATAAAGTCAGACATAACTAACTATAGGTTTGTGTCAGTTAAGCAAGAGTAAGAAGTGAACCTATTAATAAAATTCAAATAAGCAGGCTAAAAAAATGGCACCTGGCAACTAAATGTTTTTATTTTATCTATATATAAAAATTCAGGTTTACAAAACAGATGAAGTAGAGTGGGCAACCACTTAGGTTACCTTTAATTTACAAAGATGTTATATTATCAGGTACTTTAAACAGTCTCCAAAAAGCACAAAATTAGGTATTGTTAATGGTTATTAATTACTTGATAGGTTAGAACCAGGGAGTAATTTATGGTTGGAATGTTAGCCTACTCTGAATTGAAGATAAAACAAAACTGGAAATAAAATATTTCATGCCTTTAGCCCTGATCTTTCTCCCTACTTACAGTATTGAATTTGTTACTGATCACTGAATTTTATTGTTCAAAATAAAATTTACCTCACCAAATCTTTTTATCTCTTCTCTTAAAACAAAGTAGTTAACATTCCTCCTCTTCCTGGATTCCCTATTTCTACTAACTACTGATTCAACCTAAGAACATACCTGGCTCTTCCCTTTACCATTACCATTCACTTCCATATGGTTTACCAAAGTTTCCGTTCTTTCTGCCTCCCTGATCTCTCCTTCATCTACCTGTTCCCTTCTTGTTTTAAAGGACTACTATTATAACCTAATTTATCTCCAAATTATCTCACCTCCTTTATAAAAACCTGGTAATTCCTACTACAAATTATCAGTGGATATCCATCAAATTAAATTGAAACTCTCTAATTTGATTAATTCTATAACCCGACCTCAATTTTACTTTTCTAACCTTCCTGCTTACTATTCTCAGACATTTCAGGCAACTCAGATTTGGCTATTGCCATTTGAGCTGCTTTACCTATAAAGGAATCTTTTTCATTCTTCGAAATACTATGTATCCTTCCAGCTCATATGCTCTTTCCCATAGAAACTCACCTATGATCCACTCCACCCCGAATGGTTAATATTCATCTCCACATAGTCTATGCAGCAGACTTAGTACGTTTTATATTTAGATGTATTTCTATTTATTTGTGTACTTGTTTTATCTTCCCTTGTAAATGTTTAAAAGATATTTATCACATTATACTCAAAAGTTTGTCAAATGAATACATTTTTAAAACATTCATTTGCAAGTATCTTCCGGGATTATCGACTGTAAAAGGCACAAGTGTGCTTAAAATTTTAAAATAAATCTAGTCCTCATTCCCTCTGTATTTGCTAAAATTAAAAATGTTCTTTTTCCTAAAGAAATAAACAGATGCAAATAAAAACTAAATGTATGTATATGTTCATGGCAATATTAATTATAACAAAAATCTGGAAATTCAAAAAAATAGAACAAAAATAAATTTTGGTACATTTAAATAATGAAATGTTAAATTATCATTAACAATATCCCTAAATATTTAAAAACATGGAAAAATACTAAGTTATTATTCAATTATTACTGGGAGGAAAAGAAATAAGATTTTTTAAAAAAATAATGTGAAAAACACATTACTAAAGAATTCTAAAATGTTTTCCTTATGGCCAAGAAAAGCTGAACTAAAATTCTGCTGTGCTATAACTAGAGAAATTACTTTCAACAGTGCTACATTTGTATGTCATATGGGGGACATGGCACCCTATGAATACCTACTAAGGAGATGACAGAAACTAGACCACCGAGGGTGTCACCTGCAACAAGAATCCTTAATAAACGCCCAAACTGTGGAAGTGAAATCTACCATACTCCTGGTTCTTTCAAGGAAAGTATATGGCTCACTTACAAGCAGATAAAAACACTAATACACCAAACACAGAGAGAAAATCATTGCTTCCAAATCCTTTTAAAAAGCCTCTATTTGCAAACTGCTCAGATTTGGCAACTACTGCTATTATTGTCTCCTTTGGGGGTTAAAGGTCTTATAAAGCACTCACCAAACCAATGCATCCTACACAGAGATACATGGCAGACTTGATAGAACATAACTAATCCAAGTTCCAATGTTAGCCACCAAATCAATCGACTGGGCCTTGGACAGCAGCATAGCACAGCATTAAACAATGAAGGGATATAGAATATGATACATAACAGAGGAAAGAGAAAAGATTGGGTGTTACCATGACAGGTTTTTGTTCATTTGTTTAAATATTCTTCATACCACACAAGGGTATAATGAAGCACCAAAGTGGTATCACAATGCAAGATCTTGGTAAAATAATGATTTCAATAAGCCATCAAATAAAATGGCAATGAAACAATCTGTGCATTAGTATTTGATCTGCCTCAAATAGAAGTTACTACTGTAAATAATTCTAAACATAAGCACAATTTAGTGAATAAGGTAGGAGACTGGTAGACTTAAATTTTCAGATTCAATTTATAGCTGTTCACCAGTCACCTGCTCTTTTGACAAGTTACTTACCAACTTGTGCTGCCATTTCTCCGTAAATTTATCCCCTAAGATGAGGATAATTCTTGCAAATTGTGTCACAAGCATTTTGAAAGGAACCATGAATTATTGTGTAATGCTCTTGAAATTCCTCAGATGTAGGCTCCTACACAAAGTAAAGTATTATTATACATCTCTCTAACAGTAGTCATCTGTTTGCATTATGATTTTTGTTCCTACCCTTGACACTGTGATTCTTGGGCACTAATCTATCTCAAAGTGTCCAAAGCAAGCTTCCATTCCTGACTCAAGTAATTACTTTTTTCAAGTCTTCATATATCATCCATATCTTTCTCTCTTCCTTAGAAGGTACAGTTAAAATTAGGAGTTATAAAACATAATGAGCTTCTTTGGTATTACACACTTTGGTTCAATAAGAAATATATGGAATAATTTGGTACTTTTAATCCACTCTTAAGTGAATAATTTTATTTTCCATATTTATACATTTATTTTCCTATATTACTTTTCAAATTTTAAGTATATTTTAAGGAGTTCATTACTAGATTTATGTTTTATGAACAAGGAGAGCAGGTCAGAAAATGAAGCAAGAAAGGCAAGCAAGTAATTACTGCTATGTGACCAAAATAATTTATTGGAATGACCCAACAACAGAAATTACCATTCTGGGCTACAGGAAACAGAATCAATGCTCATAATCTTTCTATCTTCTATAGAAGAGTTGAGCATAAGCTCCATAAGTTTTATCATACTATTCCAAACTTTATTGCTGGTTTTGCTTATCAAGTTAGCTTTCATTTCAAGAATAAAATATATACATTTAAATTTTTAGTTGGTGTTGGTGCAATATTACATCTTAAAATAGAACTCTCAACCTTCTTATATTGTTCCTAAAATTGCTTCTCTTTGAATTTATGCATGGGGGTGTGTGGGGGAGATAACATAATATCTTCACTGTATAACCTTAGTTATAATATTTAAGAGATTTTTTTTTAAACCCTCAGAATCACATTAAAATACTGATGGAAACTAGTTTCCTCCTAGGTGAATACATATTCTCTACCTTCTAACTATGGCAGGGGAAAAACTTTGTGGGATAAAAGTAAAATCACAGAATTTATAATGGTCTCTTATTCGCTGGCCTAGTGATAGATAGTCTCTTAATCTCTTTTAACTTCAGTTTCCTCATATGTAAAATGGGGCACGTAAAACCTGCCCCAGCTACCATACAAGACTGTTGTGAGGATTAAATGAGATAATCTACTTCAAAGAATTTTGCAAACCATAAAAAGCTATCAAAACAGTCATTTTTTAACAGAACAATATCACGTTATTCACAAGTTATGGTCATAAAATAATTTAGTACTGTTTCTTACATGAAACAAATGGAAATACATGTGTAAAACATATTACATGAAAACAAATGTGCAAAACACAGTCACCAAATTATACCTACGATTTGATATATAATGAGTAAATTATCTTGTTAAGAAAAGTACACTTCCTGTGTTATTTAAAAATCTTTAGAAGTGAATTTGGAGGGATAAAAATAAAACAATTTAGCTGCACTAGCCTAGTATATTGAAGATTTAATATAATTACTCATTAGCTATGACTTAAGAAACTGAGAGCCAATAGCTAAAAAAAAAAGTTTAAAATAATTCTTATGAAAGGAAAACAAAAACAGTACATGAAAGTGAAACAGATGTTCATGTCTCTGGAAGTAACTGAGAAAGAGCTAGTAGTGATAGCAAGGGGTATGCATGTACAAGAGAAAGGAGCTGAACATGGCATAATCTGCACTCTTGGTGTAACAGTGAAAGCTTCCTCTGTGGTTTCTAAAAAGTTTGAGTGGAAAACTCTCCCAATAGGCCACAGGTCAAATCTATTTAACTATACTGTAAGGCTGAGTCCTCCAGTAGGTTATCAAGACTCAAGAACAGCTTATCCTTAATGAATGAGACCACCTTTCTTTTTAGAGTATTTAGTATGGTTTTAAAGCCATCTCAGTAAAATAAACAAACAAACAAACAAACAAACAAATTCTTAGCTCCCTCCATACAAGTTTAAAAGCTCTGATGAAGCGAATTACTATGTTTATAACATGATCCTAGAAATTCAACCAGACTCAATTACCAGAAGACTTTAAAACCAATTAAATAAGAACTTATCTTCTAATTCAGTTCTCAAACTCACAAATTTTAAAAGGGGTACATTTAAATCAATAAGGAATTATTCCAAAGGGAAATAATTTTAGTTAAAAACACTGTTTTCCATTCAATCACCTTAAACCAAAACTGAGGTTAAAAGTCCTGATATCAGAGTTAACTACCTCCCTTTGAGCTTCTTCTTCTATCTCTATAACCAAAGTACACTTCTATATATCACTGAAACTGAACTGGTAATAAAAAGTTTTCAGAATTAGGATCCCCTCCTATTCCAGCCTCAAATTTATTTTCTGGCTATTTATGTGATCAATGATTGAATTAAACTTAAGACTTCATTTTCTCCCAGAAATCTTTCTTTAATTCTATCCCACAATGATATTCCCCAACATTTAAATTTCCTAGACTCAAAGTATGTATCACATCATGTCAAATTTCAATTCTCTCCAGTTATTTTATTTATGTGTGCCTGAACTCCCAACCCAGACTCTAAATTTTCCAAGACAAAGTTCATGCCTTTCATTTCTCTATAGCACAGACTGTGATGTATCCTGTACAATGAGGCAATCCTAAAGAGGTATCATAAATTAGGTAAACCCACCCTCCCAACCTTTTATTATCAAATAATGGTTCCAGGATGAATCAATAGGGTGATATAAATGTCACAATGCAATCATCACAATGTCAACGTGACCACAAAGAAGCTTCATCTAGCTAGTTAAGTTTCTCAGAATCTTACCTATAGAGTTAAAAGCTGTTGCAGGCACTATAATCATTTATACTATTCATGCAGTATCTACCTGTATCCTGGAAACAGAACAGGTGTTTGTTCAATAACATTTAAAATATACTGGCAATTTCTATGTGCTGGCTTTGTACTTTCTTCTTGCCCTGGTATCCTCTCAGAAATTACTAAAGCAATACAGATATGTTCAGTTATTTCTGTAGGGCATGTTAAATTTAAGAATAGCAACAGTTCCATACCCTGAAAATCTCAACCTGAGGCAGCATTCCAAGGTAAGCAGAAAAGGTAAAGGATTTATCTGCCTCTAGCAGTGATAACAAATATTTATCAGTAAATTATCATTCATGTCTACCAACATAAGATTATGAAAATCTGGTAAGATTCCATAAAATATTCTTAATGAGATAAAGTACATACAACAAAGCTGCCATTTACCTTGAGTTCTGCAATAATAAAACCTACTGTATTAAGCATCACCCCCATTCATCAAAATAATTGTTACAAATTAAAGCAGAAAAGAGATTAAGACTCTAACAAGAAGAAAGGATGAAAACTGTCCAGTATTTATAAGAAGAGTGAAGTTCGGCATGGTGGTGAGATGGTATAAAGGATGAATAACATGCCTTAATTCAATACTTTAATGTATTATACCTACATTAACCTCTCAAAAGTAAACTAACACTAGTAAAGAAAAATAACTGCCACAGAAAATACTTAAGTGCCATATTGTTGAAGTCAAAAGAAGAAACTAAATCAATACAGCTGCAGTCTTATCTGAATTCACCACCTTAAGAGTTAATTTTTAGTTATACTTAAAGCAAAATAAAATTCACATAATAATGATATTTCTAAGTGTGGTAATATTTGATTTTAAAATATGTATAGCCGGGAAACAGCATAAAGTGTGACCACATTCCTCAAAATTCTCATTACCCTGTAATTATTTTAAATTTAGCTTGTTTGGCTACTACAAAATCAAGGCATCTCAGAGTCACAAAACCTTTAATAGCTAGTGATGCTACTTGAAACCAGATGATTAGGAGAACAAACGATATTTCAAACTAAACCAAATAAAATTACATATTTAAAATGCTACAACAGGGAGAAAAATAGAAGAATTAGGATATATTTTAGGAAAGTAAAATGCTTTCATATTAATATTTTTTTCTTTCTAATGTATGAAAAACACAGTAAATTATGCATTTAAAATCTGCCCAAGGTGGCTGAATAGTACTTGTTAAAAAAGACCTGCATACTATATACTCTATAAACACTATACCAGATATCTAAACAATGCAAACTGTTTTTCTCTATTTGTTTACATCACCATAATTATGTTCTGAAACCAAAGCTTCATAAAATAAGGATTTATAACAGTAGTAGTTAAAAAAGGAAACCACAAAATAAAGTACTTAGAAGTATGCAAATGTAAAGGATATATTTAAATCCTGGTATGCTTTTAAAGTTTGATAAAAAATATGGGTCTAGGAATAGAGAGATTATTTGAAGTTTCAAACTTAAATGATATAATTATTAGAAATACCAAACAAAACAATTTTCAACTTACCTGGTTTCTTTCTGGATTTTTCATGACCTAGCTGTCCTAGATCATTACATCCACATGTGTATACTGTTCCATCATCCAGAACAAATACAGTATGTCTGAGTCCACATCCTACATCTCGGACCTTTTTGTTTATAAAAAAGTCACTTTTTCTGGGCTCTAATACAATTTCTTCATCAATTCCACCCAAACCTAGCTGTCCAAAAGATGCATTTCCCCAGCACAACATGTTTGTAATTCTTTAGGTCTTCCAGTTTCAATAAAAAACTCCCTTCTGAAACACTGGAAAGTTGGAGGTATCTCTATGTCTGAAGAGATAGAAAAAAAGTTAAGATGACTTCAAAGGAAACATGATGTATCATTGTTCTTTCAAGCGAGAGGCTACAATAATCATTACATAGTGAACATTAAGTCTATTTCACAATATGCTACATATAAGCATCATTCAGTTTCAAAAGCCAATCAGTTGTATTTTTAAAAATATATAATATAGAAACATTTAAAGAAAATTTATCACTCTCCATGGGTCTTTATAAAATTTAAAACACTTAGTTTTTACTTTTTATCTTGTGATAATCTACTACAAATATCAAGTACCTTGATGAAATTAATCCTTTTTTTTTTTTTGCTTTAAGTAATTTCAGTGGAAGAAGTAAGACATCTATTCACTGCTTCAACAATCAAGTAATTATACAGTGAAAAATTTAGCCAACTACAGAAACATAAAACCCTGAAATCTCAAGTCACAGAATAATTAAACCTTCTAATACCTACCTCCACATCAACAGAAAACTGAAGTTCTTATCTGTAATACAAAACCAATAATGGAAACTTGAAATTTCCCACAATTTAAATGACTTCCAAGTATTCATGCCAATATTGAGGCCCTAGAAAAAACTGTTCTCTTGTCAAGACTTAAGAAAATCGCCTCCAAAGATCATACTTATTTTTTTAAAAATCAAAATAGTAACACTCCGATCTCACCACAAGTTTAATTTTAAAACTAAATCAATGGACATAATGATAATACTGACAAAAAAAATACCAAGTTTAATACCAAGGGTCTCCTCAAAATTCACCATTATCTATTATGAGCGGTAACCGTGACAGTAAAATAGTTCCATTCCCCTGGGCAATCAATACCTATACCTCTGAGACAATTATTTGAGGGGGGAAAAACTACAAGTAACTCCAACACTGCCGACTTTTCAAAAATAGGGATGGGGGATGGGCCATTGATAGTTTGGTGGCGAAATGTGCAGAACTTTCCAGTACACTGAGCATTTCTTCGTTTGTAAAGACACTGATAACAAGAGTCCACTTCATCTAAATCTAAACAGATCTTTAAATACATCGCGTTACTAAATAACACAACTACAGGAAGTCAGCCTGAGTCCCGTAGTAATTACCCACATTCATTATTACGCAGAAACTGAGAAGTTTCAAAACCCAACTTTCCTACTAGCAAGTGCCGAAGCTGTCCCATTCCATGAGCCCGTCCATTCACAGAAGTTTGATTTCATTCTTTTGGAACATCAGAACTCTATAGCTCCCTAGAGTTCTGCACTGTCTCCCCGAATTTTTTATTTTTTTTTTAATTTTAAGAAGAGAGGACAGGGAAATACCCCTTGATTTCAGCGCACGAGGTTTAACCATCCTTTTCTTTAAAAAGTCAGAAAGGGTGTAAGGAAGGCGTCCTCACGCCCAGCAACAGGTAGGGGAATGAGAAGCAGTTTTTATTCCCATCATATACTCCCTGAACATCCACTCAGATCAAACTCAGGGGAACCAGGGGAGAGAAATCGTCTGCACACACCCAGCCTCGCGGGCCGACCAGTCAACTACGGCAGCCACCGCTCGCAGAAGTCGCAGAGACCAGCGGTCGAGGCTCCGCACCTCTGCGACCATCAGTCCGAGGGGGCCCTTCCCGAGGGAGGTGCGACATTCCTGCCCCCCTGCCAGGGAGCCCCTACGCTGCCCTCGTCCCCCGCCCCCCACCACGAGGAAGCGCTGAGAAAGCACCCAGCGCCTGGCCGGCCTGTATCCGCCCGCCCGGCCTGCCCCATTCCGACGTCGTCACACGCCCCCGAACCCACCGGGGCAACGACTCACCCGACCCCTCAAGGCAGAGGGAAGCCCAGAGCAACGGAGGGCGGCGCCTCCCCAGAGAGCGAGGCAGCGCGGCAGCGCAGCAGCTGAGGCAGGTCTCTAGCTCTTGGACCCTCCTCCTTGAACCAGTGGCGGCGAACACCAGGCAGGGCTCCTCCGGTGTCGTTGCAGCTCCTCGCTGCTGGCCTCCCGGCTCCTGTGAAACTTTCCTGCGTCCCCTCTGAGAAAAGCAGCCGCCGCCGCTGTCCAGTCCGGAGACAGCCGTCAGCGACCCGGATGGTGCGGGAGGGGAAGGACAGGAGCCGAGCCCGGCGGAGAGCGCGAAGGGTGGGGAGAGTTCGGGGAGAGGCTGGGAGAAGGGA